ACTCAAGGGTCTTCATCCAGGGCTCTCCAAGGCTTGGTTGATCTGTGGCAGCATTTGTGGTTGGTTGGTTGGGAGCTTCTTTGTGACCGATGGGCCTGGCGCTCTTTTCCTCTGCCTCAGTGACAATGGCGATGAGGATTTGGGTGAGACGCTCAAGTGTCACAGTGCCTGCTTTGTACTGCCTCAGCAAGTCCTGCCTCTTGGACAGAAGGATGTATCTGGAGAAGAGGAGATCCCACGCAGAAACCTCTTGGTCCTGGAACAGCCCGACGCCGATCTTGGTCTTGGCCGTCTGCAAAGCCTTCTTGGTGTTCTCGTTGAGGAAAGATGAAAACCAGCCCTTGTCCATGATGTGGAGCAGCAGCAAACCAGTCTCCGGATCGGGCAGGCACCGCTGCAGAAGCTGCAGGTAAGTGAGGTTTTCGTGTGTGTTTGGGTCAAAGAAGCCCTTGGTGTCGTCTGTGGGATCAGAGAGGATCCGGTTCATTTCCTCATCAAAGTAGCCCCTCTTGTACGCTACTTCCACGGGGAGGCGGTGACTGTGCACAGGATCGATGATGCCACCCGTGGCAATCTGGGCTTCCAGCAGGCGGATCCCGTGCTCTTTTAAGATTAATTCCTTTTTCATTGCTTGAAAGAGGGAAATGCTTTTTCCTGTGTTTGGATCTGTATAACCTGTCACGGCTCTCTCTGCACAAAGCAGTTTTTTCTGTATTTCTTCCCCTACGACACCAGCTTCAACTGCCTGACTTACAGAGAATCTCTCATTTGTTGATGGATTGATGATAAAGCCCGTGGCAGCCTGTGCCTCCAGCAACACCAGGGCCGTGCCTGGCCTCAGAATGCCTTTCCACATGGCCTGGTAGATGGTCATCTTCTCTGATCTGGAAGGGTCTGTCCTGGATGGCACCATCACGCCAGCGATGCAGCTGTTGCCTTCCAGGTATCTCTTCACCGAATCCATCTTGGCTACAGCCTGCGCTCTCTCTTTTCCTGCCTGCAGATTTTTCATAGTTTCTTCATTAATGATGTCCGCCTTTAGTAGTTCAGAAGCTGTGACTTGCCTCCGTATTCCTTGGAACCATATGTCTTTTCTGTGGTCTTCTGTTTTCTTTATTATCTTCAGTATTTCCCTTGTGATGCTCTGCAAAACTGCAAAGCCTCCCTCTTTATATTTTTTAATCATCTTCTTCTGCATTTCTTTTGTAACGTAGTCTGAAGAAAGAAGTTCCCAAAGAGAAGTGGACTGTCCTTTGTATTTCCCCAGGCCTACTTTTATTTTGCAAGATGAGAGGACGCACTTAGTTTTTTCATCCACAAAGATGTACTCCCTCTTCTCCAGTAAGGGCAACAGGTATGCACCTGTCTTTGTATCTTTGATGCACCTGAGCAGGAGCTGAGTGTAGGTGATCCTCTCCTGGGTGTTGGGATCCACAAATCCTTTGGGAACAAGTCCCTCATCAGAAAGCAAGAGGAAAGTTTCTTCATCCAAGTAGCCCCGTCTGCAAGCCACCTCCACAGGGAGGCGGTGACTATGTATGGGATCAATGATGCCACCCGTGGCCATCTGTGCCTCCAGCAGCCGGAGGGCATGGGCTTTCTCCACCAGGTTTCTTTTCATGGCTTGGAAAAGGGAGATTTTGTCTCCTGTGGAGGGGTCAGTGTGTCCAATAACGGCTTTCTCAGCAAGGAGGAGCGCCTTGTGAAACTCTTCCCCAACCAGCCCAAGAGAGATGGCCTGGTCAACCGAGAAGGCCTTCTCCTCCACCAGGTCAGTAAGGAGCCCTGTGGCAGCCTGCGCCTCCAGTAATAGCAGAGCATGTTCTGGGGAGAGAAAGCCTCTCTTCATGGCCTCATAGGCAAGCAGCTTCAGCCCCTGGCCAGCCACCAAGACACCCGCAATGCAGCCTGTCCCTTCAAGGTAGCGCTTCACGATGTCCGTCTGGGTGAGCTGTTGCAGAGGAAGGCTCCGCAGGTGCAGTCTGTCCAAGGTCACCTTGTCGATGATTTCTGCATTGAAGAGCTCTGCAGCAGACACCTCTTGCCCCCTCAGTCCCTTCAGCTTGATCTTCTGGGTTGCCTGTTCTGTTTCCTCCACAATAGTGGTGATGGTTTTGCAGAGCTGTGGCAAACTGAGCTTCTCGCCCTTATACTGCCTGACCAGGTCTTTCCTCTTCTGTTCCTGGATATAAGGGGAGCAGAGGAGGCTCCACACAGAGACCACTTGGTCTTTATACCGGCCTACCTGTACTTTCATGGTCTGCGTTCTCAAAAACTCTTTTGTTGCCTCGTCAATGTAGAAGTAGGTTTCCCCTCTTCTGACGATCTGCAGCATGTACAGCCCACTTTCTGAATCTTGGATGCAGCGTTCCAGAAGCTGCAGGTAAGTGAGATTCTCGTGAGTATTGGGGTCAAAAAAGCCCTTGGTATCATCCGTGGGGTCCAGAAGGATGCGGTTCAGGTCTTCATCAAAGTAGCCTCGCTTATATGCAACCTCCACTGGGATGCGGTGACTGTGCACGGGGTCGATGACGCCCCCCGTGGCAATCTGCGCCTCCAGCAGGCGGATGCCATGGCTCCTCACAATCAGCTCCTGATTCATGGCCTCGAAGAGGGAGATCTGCCCGTTGGTGTAGGGATCTGTGTATCCTGTGACGGCTTTTTCTGCACTCAGTAGCTTCTCGTAGATTTCTCTTCCAATCAGCTCTGCTGACACTGCTTCGTCCACGGAGAGCTTCTTGTTTTTCACTGGGTCAATGAGGTACCCGGTGGCTGCCTGGGCCTCCAGCAAGACCAGAGCTGCCCCTGGTCTCAGCAGACCCCGCCTCATGGCTTGGTAGAGGCTCATTTTTTCACGGTCTGGTTCTATGAGGACCCCCGCAATGAAGTTGCACCCCTCCAGAAAGCGCTTGACGGAATCCATCTCGCTGACTTCCTGGACCGTTGTCTTCCCCTGCCTGAGTTCGTCCAGGGTTGTCATGTCTATGAGCTGGGACTGGAAGAGGTCGTTGGCTGACACCTTCTTTCTTAGGCCTTCGAAAGTGAATCTCTTGCCTTGCTGCTCCGTCTCTTCGATGATCTTCTTGATGGATGATGCCATTTCCTGAAGGAGCTCCTCGTGCGTTTCTTTGTATCTCAGCACCAGCTCTCTCCGCTTGGCGTCCGGGATGTACTCGGAGTGGAGCAAGTCCCAGAGAGAAACGTCTTGTCCTTTAAACCTCCCAGTGCTGACTGAGACGGAGAAAGATTTCAGCACTTCCATGGCTTGCTGGTCTCCATAAAAAGCTGCCTCTTTGGACAGTGGGAGAAGCCAGAGCCCCATCTCAGGATCTTGGATGCATCTGTCCTTCAGCTGCCGATAGGTCAGGCTCTCCTGGGCATTCGGGTCAAAGAAAACCTGGCTCTCCTTGGTGTCCTGAGAAAGAGTCCTCTGCATTTCTTCGTCAATCAAGCCATGCTTGAAGGCCGCTCCGAGGGGCACGTGGTGGCCATGTACAGGGTCGATGATTCCTCCGGTGGCCAGCTGAGCCTCAAGCATGGGGATGCCCACCCTGGCAGGGAGGAGCTCCTTCCTAATAGCCTGGCACACTGAGATTGGTTTCCCCGAGTAGGGGTCAGGGAAGCCACTCACCGCCTTCTCAGCTTGCAGCAGCTCTTCCATCAGCTCTTCTCCCACGATGCCACTTTTGATGGCATCCTCAACGCCAAACCTCCGATCAGACGCCGGGTCCATGATGGAGCCAGTGGCTGCCTGGGCACTGAGCAGCTGTGCTGCCACTCCTGGCAGGAGGAGCCTTTCCTGCATAGCTTGGTAAATGCCCATTTTTTCTTTGGAGGACTGAACGAAAACTCCAGCAATGCTGCCTGTGCCCTGCAGGTACGGCTTGACGCTTTCCATCTCAGAGACTTCTCTGGGAGATCTCTTGCCCTGGGCCAGCTCAGCAAACGTCTTCTCTGAAATGATGCCTGTGTCCAGGAGCCAGACGGCTGGCACCGCGCCTCTCAGGCCTTGGAAAGTGACCTGCGCCTTGGCTTTCATTTCTATGTCGTCAATAACCCCCTGGACAAGGCTGACCAGCTGGTGAAGGGAAACTGCTCCGGAGCTGTACTTCTCCAAAAAGTCTGACTTCTGCTCCTCAGTGAAGTAACTGGAACTGAGAAGGTCCCAGAGAGAGACCCCCTTGTCCTCAACAAAGGTCTCCTTAAAGCGCTGCTGGATCTGTTCTTCAGTGTAGCGAGCAGAAGCTGTTTCTGCCAGAGGCAAGAGGCGAATGCCCGAATGTGCCTCCTTCAGACACCTGTCCATCAACTGGCCATAGCTGACCCTCTCTTTCCTGTCCAGGGTGCTGAAAGCCTTGGAGTGACTGCTTGCGTTGGAAAAGGTTTTCCTGAACTCCTCATCGAGGTAGCCCTTTTTCTGGGCAAATTCTATGGGGACATAGTGGCCGCTGTGTGGGTCCATGACCCCCCCAGTAGCCAGCTGGGCATCCATCAGCTGCCTGGCTTTCCTGTCGGCCAAAAGGCCTTTCTTCATTGCTTGGAAGAGGGAGATGATCTTGCCGGTGAAGGGGTCCCTGTAGCCCGTGACAGCTTCTTCAGCCTGCTGCAACACCTCATAAAGCTCAGGACCAACCAGGCCTTTCTTCACCGCATCATCCAGGGAGAGTCTCTGGCTGCTCACAGGATCTACAAGGAATCCAGTAGCTGCTTGGGCCTCCAGCAAGGGCAGGGCAACCCCGGGCACCACCATGTCCCTCTTCATGGCTTCATAGAGGCTCAGTCTCTCATTGGAGGGCTGCAGCAGAATTCCCCCGATGCTCCCCGTGCCGTAGAGGTACCTTCGGACTGAATCCAGGCGCAGGACGTCCTCTGGGCTCACCCCTCCATCTAGGATCTCCTCAAAGAGAGCCCGGTCAATGATGCCTCTCTCCAGCAGGTGGTAAGCGCTGACTTTCCCTCTGAGGGCCGGGAACTGGATGCAGGCCCATTTCTTCATTTCCTCTTCCAAAGCGAGGCAAATCTCCTCCAGGGTGACCTTCCGAAGGCCGTAGTGGTTGAAGACTTCCTTTCTCTTTCCCTCACTGAAATACTCTGAGTTCAGCAGGTCCCACAGAGAGACTCTTTGTCCTTGGAAGCGCCCATGTTTGACAAAGAGCCAGGAGCTCCTGAAAGCCTGCCTGGTGGCATCATCCAGGGGTTGGTGCTTCTTGCTGTTGAGTGGCAGGAGGCAGAGGCCCGTGGTGGGCTCCACAATGCACTTCTCCTTTAACTGCAGGTAAGTTAGGTTCTCATGCGTGTTTGGGTCAAAGAAGCCTTTGGTGTCATCACTGGGATCTGACAGGATCAGGCTCATCTTCTTTTCAAAAAAGCCCCGCTTGTAGGCCACTTCCACCGGGAGGCGATGACTGTTGACGGGATCGATGACACCTCCGGTGGCGATCTGGGCCTCCAGAAGGCGAATGGCATGTTCTTTGATGATGAGGTCTTTTTTCATGGCCTGGAAAAGGGAGATCTTGTTCCCAGTATAAGGGTCCTTATAGCCAGTCACTGCTTTCTCAGCAGCCAGCAACTTGCTGTACATATCTGGACCAATGATGTTGCCCCGCAAGGCCTCGTCCACGGAATATCTCTGATTGGCCACGGGGTCAATGATGTGTCCTGTGGCCGCCTGAGCCTCCAGAAGGATCAGCGCCGTTCCTGGACGGAGGAAGCCCTTCCTCTTGGCTTCGTAGATGCTCATTCTCTCCTGGGAGTCGGGCAGGAGCAGGCCCCCAATGCTACCCGTCCCTTCCAGGTATTTCTTCACCGTGCCCATGCTAATCACCTCTTTGACCAGGGTGTCTCCCTGCGTTAGCTTCTCAAATAAGTCTTTGTTGATGATTTCAGAGCTCAGGAGCTGGGCAGGTGTCACCTTTTCCCTCAAGCCTTCAAAGGTGACTCGGGAGTCGGCAGTGGTTTGCTCCACCACGAGGCGGATTTTGTCAGCCAGCTGCTGAGCGGAAAGGGACCCAGAGGAGAATTGCTGGGTAAGTGCTCTCCTCTGCTCTCCCGTCAGATATTCCGAGAAGAGGAGCTTCCAGAGGGATACGGGCCTTCTCTTGAACCTACCAGAGGCCACGGACACCGTAGTGTTTTTCAGGGCCAGCTTTGTACTGTGGTCAATGAAGGTGTGAATCTTCTCCTGATGTCCAGAAAGAGGCAAGAGACAGAGCCCGGTATCCGGATCAAAGACGCACCGCAAGAGCAGCTCCCCATAGGACAACCTCTCCTTTGAGTTGGGCTCAAAGAACCCACGGGCCTCCTCCGTAGGGTTGCAGAGGAGGCTGTATGTCTCTTCATCTAAGTGGCCCCTCTGCAGGGCCACCCTTGTAGGAAGCCGGTGATGGGCATCTGGGTCAATGACGCCTCCAGTGGCGAGCTGAGCATCCAGCAGGCAAAGGCCTGGGTTCCTGGGCACCAGGTGTTTCTGCATGGCTTGAAACAAAGAGATGGTCTCCCCTGTGTAGGGATCCTTGTATCCTGTAACGGCCCTCTCAGCTGAGGTCAGTTTCCCAAAGAGCTCCGGCCCAACAACTCCTGCCTGGACGGCCTCAGCCACAGTGAATTTGGCATTCTTGACGGGGTCAATTAAATAGCCAGAGGCCACCTGAGCCTGCATCAGAATTTCAGCTGCGCCAGGAGGGAGGAGATGCTCTACTAAAGCCTGGTAGAGACTCTTGCATTCATTTGTGGGCAGGACGGCTACTCCAGCGATGCTGGCGATCTCCGACGTGGATTGTTGCACTGAATCCATCTCTGCCACTTCCCGCACGGTCATCTCCCCCTTCTGGAGGGCTTCAAACACGGCAGCGTCAATGACTCCAGAATTCAGCAGCTCCTGGCTACACACAGCCCCTCTCAGTCCAGGGAAAGAGATCTTGAGAGGCAGCAAGAGGAGGCCCCTGGCTGGGTCTGCCAGGCATCTTCTCATCAGTTCTGTGTAGGTGACCATCTGGTCAGTATTAGGATCCCTGAAGCCCTTGGCCTCCTCGTTCTCTGGATCAGAGAGGGAGTTGCTCAAGCCCTCGTCCAAGTAGCCCCGTGTGTAGGCCTCTTGCAGAGGGACGCGATGGCCAGAAACAGGCTGAATGACCCCTCCAGTGGCTATCTGGGCTTCCAGGAGACAGAGGCCCAACTTTCTTCCAATCAGCTCTTTTTGGATGGCTTGGTAGAGGGAGATCTTCTCCTGTGTGTAGGGGTCAGGGAAGCCCGTCACTGCCCGCTCTGCGTGCAACAGCTTCTCCTTCATTTCCAGCCCTGCCAGTCCCACCGCCAGGGCCTCCGTCACAGGGAGGAGCCGCTCACCCACAGGGTCAACAATGCCACCTGTGGCTGCCTGGGCTTCCAGCAGGGCCAGGGCAACATCCGGTTGGATCAGGTGGTCCTGGAGAGCTTGTGCCAGACTTGTGGTCTTGCCAGAACCCTCCACAAAGACTCCCGAGATGCTTCTGATGTCAGGGGCCGTTGAGCCAGTTGGCCGTGGGGCTTCCATTGCTGCTGCTGCTGAGCCTCCTGCGATGGTCAGTGGGGTCCTGCAGAGAGAGAAAGGGAAGGCGCCATGAGGAAAACAAAGTTTTTGGAGCAGTGGATGCAAGTGGAAACCTGGAAGGAAAGTACGCTAATTGGGACAGTCTTGGTTTTCAGGGTGCTTTACCAAAATTGATATGTTTCTTCTTATTAAGACAATCTTTCTTGAGGATGGTGATAGTTGAAGGACGGGAAAGTAATTTGAGGTTTGCCAATTATGAATATTCATGCTTACATCAACTATTACCTATGCATATGTATGACTATGATTTTTCTCCTCTTTTCCTGAAATGTATGAATGCAAAAGCAATCCACCTGCCCCAGGAGCCTCTGTCATTATTTTCCGGATGGAATTCCTTCAGGGCACACTGTTAAATAGATAACAGGACACACTGCGGTGAGCCTTGATTATTAGCTTTTTGAGTCCTGCGTTTGATTCCACAGAAACTGGTTTCAGAGGTGGGATTCAGAGTCTTTGAGCCAGGGACAACAGCTGGGGTGCCCCATAGGGTGAGTGTTGTGCGATTGATCCCGTGTCCCTTCCCATAGCCACGTAAAGGCACCATTCGGTTTCTGTAGGGCCACTGTCTGGTTCGGCTAGGGAGGCTTGTTGAATGCACGTGGCCCCTTCCCTGCCCAGTTCTCAGCTTGAGCAAAGACCCCAGGTGTCCAGGAAGCAAAGGGGGAGTTTGGCTGGGGAGGGGCAAGCGTGGGCATTCTGTGTTGAAGAACGGAGGCTCCGTTCAAACTCCCTTTTTCCTATTGTCTCAATGGGTGAAGTTGCCTAAACTGATTCTAGGCAGGGAGGGAAGAGGATAATGGTGCTCAGGCAAAGGATGTGTGTTTCCCCAATCAATCAATCAATCAATCAATCCGCTGTGGCCCAAGGCTGTGAGTGGCTCTGCTGCCCTGCCAAAAAAAAAAAAAAAAAAGGGAGTGTGTGAAATTGAAAGGGATCATAAAAAGCTGTTCCTCCCAGGACAGAGATGTGGACCACAATAACCGGTGCTCAGCTCCAGGTGGGAAGCAGGGAGCAGGAGACACCCGTAATTGAGCAGAACTCCGGAAGATGGAGACCTGCCCCAGAGGGGTGCTTTCCCCCACCCCACTCTTGCCCCCAGCCTTTCCCCACCCTCCCTGGAACAGATCCCTCCCTGCCTCCGTGGCCGCTGCAGGAGAGGGGAGCCACGTGGCAAAGGGTCAGTTGCTCCTCTGGCCAGGCTGGCACATGTCCAGAAGAACTGCAGGGAACGTCCGGGCCGTGCTGCTGATCAGCTCACTAGGCATCTTGCTCTGTTTCACACCATCGTAGGGCTGGAAGGGACCTTGGAGGTCTTCTAGTCCAACCCCCTGTCCAAGGCAGGAGTACAAAGGATGGACTCGGTCGTTCTGCAGTCTCAGCCTATTTCTCAGGGCTCTTGGGAGCTTTCCAACTTCCTGTCTTTCTGTCCGGCTTTAGTCCTCCCACTCAGATCTGTGATACGTAGCTGCAGCTTTAACCAGATTTTAAAAAGCTTATTCAAGAACGGACAACAGTCGGCACAAATTATAATTAATGGGGGATTAACAGAGGCATTTAAAATTGAAAAAGGTACAAGACAGGGATGTCCATTATCGCCATTGTTGTTTGTTTTAACATTGGAGATTTTACTGATCAAAATTCGTGAATCAACTATAATAAAGGGAATAAAAATAAAACAGAATGATTATAGGTTGAGAGCCTTTGCG